ATACAAAACACAAAATATTTCGACAATTCAATGAAGCCACCAACAACAATTGATGTATATAAACATCAAAGTAACTTACATCCTCACAGTGATCAACGGTGCACCATCTAAATAAACACCCTATGTCGTCACCGTCACCAACGATTAACAAAGTTCGCAAAATCCGCTTCTTTAAACCGTTAGTTTGATCCAACTAAAATGATGTCTCTAATTACCGCTACTACAGAAAGGGTTATCGTCTTAAGGCTTTAAGAGCAGGGTAATATCAATCGAAGCCCTATCTCTATCTGCATCTAAGAATCATTTCCATACTCCAATTGTTTCACAACGAGTCGATAGCAAGGTCATATACACGGACCTTAATACACATATCTCTCACCAAAAAAATCTTTGGTACGCAGATTAACTTCGTTATCTTTTGGAAAAGTCAAATTCTATTATTTACACTTTAGCCTAGTGTGGGGGATCATCCGCATAGAATGTCTGGAGCGTTTTAGAGATGCCCCTCGCCTGAAGCAGTCAGGAGTAAAATGGAAAGCGTACAAAATGCGAAAATAATGACTTGAAAGAAAAAAGATCACTTACTCAAAAAAGGAGAATTAGTAGAATTGTCACAAGGAATCTGATTGGAATTCGACGCACCACTCTTAGCAACAGTGGTGACATGCTGACATTTAGACGAATTGTGCCACTGGGCCAAGTTTTCCACGACAACTTCGCTGAAATCCCAACCGAGGTTCAACAGTCTTTGAATGACTTTCATGCGACGAGTCTGCCGGTCGTCTGGTTCACTGAAACGTAATCTACTAGAAAAATGAAAGGTTTAATTATAAGTCTGATTATTAATAAACGCTATACTAAAAATTCAGTAAAACTGTGAAAAGTTGTTCAGTAAAACTTGGTTACAGTGCACTGAACGGGACAAAGAATAGTGAGCAGCGCAGAGCTGCTTGACATACTGTTAAGGTACTTACAAGTTAAATAGGGCAAAAGATGGCAAAAGTTTGCGCAATGGAATAAGTGCTTC